CGCTGCAAAACCAATCACGGTAATTAAGAGGCGTTATTAATTTCCACTGGAAACAAAGGGAGAGCCGCCCGCAAGGATCTGCCAAGCAGGAAGGAGCAAAATTAAATCCTCCTCTCTTCGGCGGGAGAGGATGAGGCTGGAGCGACGCCCTCGGCCTCCGGGAACGATCCCGGTCCCCGCGCTGTCGTACCGAGAGCTTCCTCGGTTTGAGTCACGGTTTCATCTTCGTTTTGCCGACGGGAACGGTGTGCGGTGTTGGATACCGCCTTGCCCGAGCCGGAGGAGCGTTTGAGTTTCCACCTTAGCTTCGGTGACGCGTTGTGGGGTTTATTTGCTCATTCCTTGAAGTTTAGTAGCAAAATCCTGATCGTAGAATCATGGAATGGGTTGGAAGGGACCTTCAAAGATCCAGGGGTAGGGATATCTCCCCCTAGATCAGGTTGCTCATCCAGAGAGTCATAGAATCACAGGTGTTCAAAGACCACCCAGTCCAACCCCCCGCCATGGGTAGGGACATCTCCCACTAGATCAGGTTCCTCCAAGCCTGCTCCAACCTGACCTTGAACGCTTCCCGTGCTGGGGCATCCACAACTTCTCTGGGCAACCTGGTCCAGCACCTCAGCACCCTCCTGGTACAACATCTCTTCCTCACGTCCAACCAAACCCTTCCCTCTGTCAGTTTAACGCTGTCGCACCTTGTCCTGTCCCTACCGACTCTGGTAAAAGTCTCTCTCCACCTTATAAGCTCCTTTATATATTGAAAGGCCACCAGAAGGTCTCTCTCCAGGATGTCCATGTCTCTCTTATACTGGGGAGCCCAGAACTGGCCCCAGCAGTAGAGGGGTAGGAGAACCTCCCTCGACTTGCTGGCCATCCTCTCCTTAATGCAGCCCAGGACACCATTGGCCACCTTTGCGGCACGTTGCTGCCTCACAGTCAACTTGGTGTCCGCCAAGACCCCCGAGTCCTTCCTGCTGAGCTGCTTTCCAGCCGGGTGGCCCCCAGCATAGACTGGTGCCATGCTGGTGTTCTTTGTACTTCTCCTTGTTGAACTTCCTGAGGTTCCCATCAGCCTGTCGAGGTCCCTCTGGATGGCAGCACGACCCTCCTCCTGCTTTGGCGTCATCTGCCCCATCATCCAGATCATTACTGATGGTGTTAGGACCGGACCCAGGATTGATCCCTGGGGTACACCGCTGGGCCTCCGACTAGACCTTTCTCCACTGATCGGACCCTCGGGCCTCAACCCACCTCACCCTCTACTCATCAACGGCTTCTCCAGGAGAATCTGATGGAGATAGCGTCACACGGGGTCGGGGACGCTGGGACGAGCTCTGACGTCCCTCACCGCCATCCGTCCCACAGAACCGCACCTACCTTGGGTATGTCCGCTCTGCGAGACCTCATCTTCGAGCGGTGTCAAAGGTCCTACTGAAGCCCAGGTAGACACTGTCCACCGCTTTCCTCTCGTCTACCGTGCCAGCGGCTTCACCCGAGAGGGTCACCGCGTCGGGTCAACTTCCCCTTGGTGAAGTCCCGTTGGGTTCTCTCATCTTCTGGTCGTTCCTTTCTGTACCTGGTGACTTTTTTTTTTTTTTCATCTAAAGACTAGCAAAAATCCTTATTTCGCTAAAACCGGCCTCACCGTTTCTTTTTCACCCCGACCGCGACATCCGGGAGGTTCCACCTTACCATGACAACGTTTGGGGTGAAATCCGTCAGGTTCGATGTCCCGTAGCGGGGAAGGAAGCGTCGGGAGAAGTTTCCCCGTCTGTAACTACCGTCTCCGCCTCTCTCTTGAATAAATATTTTATTTGTGATTATATTATTTATTCAAGGGAATTATTAGCATATAATTCTAATTAATAACTCATAATACTATAGAACATGCATTGGGATAAATAATAATAATTAATTGGAATGAATAATAAATTGCTTGAATAAATAGCAATCCATCGGCACGTCTCGCAGCTGCTTAAATAAACGGGCGTATTTGGGGTATTTTCCTCAACTCCGCTTTCTCCCGCAGAAACCAAAGCCCAAACCTCGGCCGTCCATCACGAAGACGACGTGGGAGAGCAACTATTTTGGGGTGCCTTTGACCAACGTAGTGACGCCAGAGAAACCCATCCCCATTTTTATCGAGAGATGCATCGAGTACATCGAAGCAACGGGTAAGAACAATCGGCTGCGGAGCTTTTTGCCCCGGGGAAAGGTCGCAGGCTGGATGATGGTGGGTTGTTTGGGTTTTTTTGGGGGGTGTGTGTATCTTTTTCCACTCAAAAAAAAAAAAAAGAAAAGAATATTATTTGGGCGAAGATGCCGTACGCGGAAGAGACGGCGGCGGCGCAGCGGGTCTTGGTTTGGATTAAATCTTCGATGGGTTTTAAGGGTAAAAACGAGAAACACGGGAACGCCCTCGCGGTTGGGATGAGATGGCAGGCTGGCTTTAAACTGCGGTTTCGTGGGGGGGGTAGCGTCACTTCTGGGCTTCGGACCTATAGATTTTCATTCCAGCAAACGAGACGTATGGATTTTAATGCCTATACGTGACGGTTTATAGGGAATTTATCCCCAAAGCTCCCCCTCCGCTGTTTCCGCCTGCCCCCCCTTGCGCTGACGGCTGCACTTGCACTGACGGCTGCTCTTTTTCCTCGCCAGGGCTGAGCACCGAAGGCATCTATCGCGTGAGCGGAAACAAGTCGGAGATGGAGAGCCTGCAGCGGCAGTTCGACCAGGGTAACCTCTGCGGCCCGGATTCCTCCTTTCCCACCCCAAAACTCGAGGGATACCTCGAGGCGGTTTTTTACCGGCGGGCACGCCGGGACGGCTTTCAGGGGACCACACCCGGC